AAGAGGTAACTATGGGGAGGAAGTGGGAGAGGAGCTGTTGCATTGTGGTAAACTGTGGTCAATGTCATGAGACAAAGTATATGTAAACTGCTGTATGGAAAGTGAATTTGCTCTATAAATCTTCACCCAAATCACAATAAAAAATAAAAAATAAATTAAAAAAACACTTTTTTTGTTAGTCTTCATACAATCTAAGAAATACTACATTTAAGCAAGTTACAATGATATTTATTACACATTATTCTATGATTAAAAATCATAATAAACAGTACTAAGGAATCTGTATGGTCTGGTACTGGAGGTCAATGGGGAGGGCATGGCCCCTTGAGTTACCACACCAACCCCACTGATGCCACTGGTTGGAATGGTTTATGCATGGGAGATATATGTGTGTGTTGACTGCTGGTGAAGAGAGCTGAAGCAGAGAAACCAATTGGGAAGGAAACTTGCAGATGTCTAGGGCCTGAGTTATGACATAAAAAGCAGCAGGTGAATTCAGGAGACATTTAGGAGCTGAAAATTTCTTGCTGATGGATAGGAGTGGGAGATGGGTATGGGAAGAGGTAGGAGATAAGTTTGTGGGATCAAATGGTGGTGCCACCTACTGAGGTGGGGTCGCAGAACAGGCGGATGGGGGAATGGTGACAAGATAATGGAGAAAAGTTTTGGATGCGCTAGTTTGGGAGAGCTCAGGAGAGAGTATTGGGTAGAGGATTTGGGACTCAGGGGGCACAGTAGACCCCGGAGAGGATGCACTCGCCAGTGAGAGATGAAAGAAGGGTCCAGGACCGTCTGTAGCGCCTGGGAAAGAGAAGGGTGGGCAAAGCGGACAGCAGGAGCGGACCCTGAGGTGGCAGGAGAAGTTCAGCGTGCGGGGACAAGGGGCCAGGGGCAGAGGGTCGCGGAGACTGCGGCCAGGCAGCGCCCGGCCCACGCACCATTAGAGAAGAGTCATTGCTGCTCATCTCCGGCCGAAGGCAGCGCCTGGTCCGGGTCTTGTGGGGACGCACAGAGTCGGATTCCCGAGTCAGGGTCCTGGGCACGCCTCTCGCTGCCGGAAGCTGGAGGCGCGCGCGTCCTTGGAAACAGAGCTGCTGGCGGGTTGCTAAGAGGGACGTCAGAGATCCGAGCGGCAAGGCGTCCTACGTGACCAGGCGCTGCTAATCAAACCCAGAGAAAGAAAGTCTGCGTTGGCCGCTTCATCCTGGCTTGTGGGGTCCGAGTCGCCCTACCGGACGCGGGCGCCGGATCCCAGTGGTGGCCATGGGCCTGGGCGCCAGCGCCGAGCAGCCCTCGGGCGGCGCCGAGGGCTTCCATTTGCATGGGGTGAGTGGCCCCCGCGGCTCCAGTGACTTTGGCTGGGCGCCCGCGGTTGGGCACAAAGCAGCGGTAGGGTTCTGGCCGGAAAGCAGCTGACCAGGTGGCAGTCGGTCGATGTTGCCTTCCGGGAGGAGCCGCCTGCAATAGGCGGCTCCGCGGACTCCAGGCGCCTTGGCCTGTCTGCGGCCGCTGTCAGGCCCTGCGGCCAATGTAAGTGCCAGCTCTGCAGGAAGCAGGAGCGTTTCCTGGTGGTGCCGCCCGGGAGTGGCGCATTGCCCAGTGAAAAATGCACCAGTTCCTGTCGGGAAGTATTGGTGCACTTAGGATGCTTTAATGTTCCCCTGCTTTGTGCCGCGCGCCTTGCTGGGCCTGGAGGGGGAATCAGTTAGAGACGCCGGGATCACCTCTTCTCAGGAGATCGGGGTGAAGAAGTGACTCCCAGCTACGGGGGATCCCGCCGGCAAGCATTCTGTCGCTCGTGGAGTCGAAAACGCTTTAGGGGTCAAGGACCAGTACGGAGTAGCCTGCGGAAGGGCGAGCGGGAGAGCCAGGAGAATGCCGCAGAATCTGAACAGAGAGCTTTTGCAACAGAGGGAGGGCCCCTTGGGTGAAACAGTGCGAAGAAGCCCGCTGAGGCTGGGTCTGAGAATGTCTCTTCCGCGTCGCTACAAGGAGTTCTACACAAAGCAGTCTAGGGGAGGTGGAAACAGTGGATTCCCTAGAATCTGGCTGTGAAGGTGAGGAGTGTGGCCTGTCTGCAGGTGATGGTGATTTGAAGTTGAGATTACCTGCCTAGAGGCAGGGGCTGTAACATGTGAGAAGGGCAGGAGTGCCTCTGCAGGAAAGATCCCCTTTCCTTTGTGAAAAGCCATGGATGCAGGGATGAGTGTAGGCAGGCAAGATTGCCAGTGTGGTGCCTGGCTGTTGAGTGGTATCTCTGTTGTGAAGGGAGGCTCTGCTATCAACTATTTGATGGGAGAGCCAAAGCAGGAGTTTCCTTAAAGGGAGGTGGGCTGATTTTGAGGGCTTGGAGTTCCCGGACCTGCGCCGGGCAATGGGCTTTCTCTTGTGGACATCATGGCAAGGCACTGAGCGGAAAAGGTGGGCAGTGGTATGCATCTATCCAGGAGATTTTGTAGCAGGTTTGATGGAAGGCAAAAGAATTGAGAATATCAACAATAGTGTTGTCGTTCATCAAAACAGGTATTTTTGGATACACATTGTGTGGAACAGATTTCTAGGCACCCTATCATCATGGAGCTTACATTTGGATGTAGACAGAGAGAGAAAAAACATAAATATATGGTGGTGGTTTTATATCGTCAAGTGGATTCCAACTCTTGGTGACTCTGTGGGACAGAGTAGAACTGCCCCATAGGGTTTTCTAAACTGTAATCTATGAGAGCAGATCACCAGGTCTTTTCTCCAGTGGGGCAGCTGGTGGGTTCAAGCCTCTGATCTTTTGCTTAGCTCAACACTTAATAATTTGGTAAATAGTGATAACTGCTAGGAAGAAAACAAAGCAGGGGATAAATAGTGATGAGCATGTGCTATTTTAGACGGTTGGTCAGGAAAGGCCTCTGGTCAAGTAGTGTTTGAACAGATACTTTGGAAGGAAGTAAGGAGTGGACAGTACAGATATTTGGGGAAGGAATGTTCTTGGCAGCCAGACTAGCCAGTGCAGAGGCTCCAAGTTGGGTGGTGGTTGTTCGGTGCCATCAGGTCAGCTCTAACTCATAGTGACCCTATGTATGAGAGAACAAAACACTGCTTAGTCCTGTGCCATTCTCACAATCCTTGCTGTGCTTGAGCCTGTTGTTGCAGCCACTGTGTCAATCCATCTTGTTGAGGATCTTCCCATTTTTCACTAACCCTCCACTTTACCAAGCATGATATTCTTCTCCAGGGAATGATCCCTTCTGACAGTATGACCAAAGTAAGTGAGTCTGGCCATTCTCACTTCCAGGGAGCATTCTGGCTGCACTTCCTCCAGGATAGATTTGTTTCTTCTTCTGGCAGTCCATGGTATTTTCAGTATTCTTCACCAGCACCATAATTCAAAGGCATCAACTCTTCAGCTCTGACTCATAGTGACCCTATGTACAATAGAACGAAACACTGCCCGGTCCTGTGCCAGCCTTGCGATACTTGCTATACCTGAGCCCATCGTTGCAGCCACTGTGTCAATCCATCTGATTGAGGGCCTCCCCCTTTTTCACTGACCCTTCAATTTACTGAGCGTGATATAGTTCTCCAGGGAATGGTCCCTTCTGACAACATGACCAAAGTCTGTGAGACGAGGTCTGGCCGTTCTCGCTTTCAAGGAGCATTCTGGGTGTATTTCTTCAAGGATAGATATGTTAGTTGCTCTGGAAGTCCACGATACTTTCAGTATTCTTCACCAACATCACAACTCAAAAGCATCAACTCTTCTTCATTGTCCATCTTTCATGTGCATATGAAGCTATTGAAAATACCATGGCTTGTGTCAGGCACACCTTAGTCTTCAAGGAGACATCTTTGCTCCTCAGCACTTTAAAGAGGTCTTTTGCAGCAGATTTGCCCAGTGCAATATGTCATTAATGTCTTGGCTGCTGCTTCCATGGTGTTGATTGTGGAACCAAGTATGAAGTCTTTGACAACTTCAGTCTTTGTTCCATTTATCATGATGCTGCTTATTGGTCCAGTTGTGAGGATTTTCATTTTCTTTATGTTGAGATGTAATCTACACTTCAGACTGTAGTCTTTAATCTTCATCAGTAAGTGCTTCAAGTCATCCTCACTTTCAGCAAGCAAAGTTGTATCGTCTGTGTATCTCAGGTTGTTAATGATTCTTCCTCCAATCCTGATGCCACGTTTTTCTTCATATAGTCCAGCTTCTCGGATTATTTGCTCAGCATATAGATTGAATAAGTATGGTGAAAGGATACAATCCTGACACACTCATTTCCTGATTTTAAACCATGCAGTATCCCCTTGTTCTGTTCAAACAACAGCCTCCTGGTCTATCTACAGGTTCCTGAGGAGCACAATCAAGTGTTCTGGAATTCCCATTTTTCTCAATGTTATCCATAATTTGTTATAATCCACACATCGAATGCTTTTGCGTAGTCAATAAAACACAAGTAAACATCTTTCTGGTATTCTTTGCTTTCAGCCAAGATCCATCTGACAACAGCTATGATATCCCTCATTCCACACCCTCTTCTGAATCCAGCTTGCAGTTCTGGAAGTTCTCTGTCACTATACTGCTGCAACCATTTTTGAATTATCTTCAGTAAGATTTTACTTGCATGTGATATTAATGATATTGTTTGATAATTTCCACATTCTGTGGGATTACCTTTCTTTGAAATGGGTACAAATATGGATCTCTTCCAGTCAGTTGTCCAGGTAGCTGTCTTCCAAATATCTTGGCATAGCTGAATGAGTACCTCCAGCGCAGCATCCGTTAGTTGAAACATCTCAGTGGGTAGTCCATCAATTCCTAGAGCCTTGTTTTTTGCCACTTCCTTCAGTGTAGCTTCGACTCTTTCCTTCAGTACCATTGGTTCTTGATCATATGCCACCTGAAATGGATGAACATCGACCAATTCTTTTTGGTACAATGACTGTGTATCCCTTCCATCTTCTTTTGATGTTTCCCGCATCATTCAATATTTTGCCTATAGAATCTTTCAATATTGCAACTCGAGGCTTAAATTTTTTTCTTCAGTTCTTTCAGCTTGAGAAATGCTGAGCGTGTTTTTCCCTTTTGGTTTTCTATCTGCAGGTCTCTGCACATTTCATTGTAATAATTGACTTTGTCTTCTTGAGCTGCTCTTTGAATTCTTCTGTTCAGCTCTTTTAGCTTGTCATTCTTTACATTTGCTTTAGCTAGTCTCCACTCAAGGGCAAGTTTCAGAGTCTCTTTTGACATCCATTTTGGTCTTTCCTTCCTTTCCTGTCTTAAATAATGTTTTGCTTTCTTGATGGATGATGTTCTTTATGTCATCCCACAATTCCTTTGGTTTTCAGTCATTGGTGTTCAGTGCATCAAATCTTTATTTACATGGTGTCTAAATTCAGTACGGATGTATTCAAGATCATATTTTGGCTCTCATGGACTTCTTTCAATTGTCTTCAACTTTAGCTTGAACTTGCATATGAGCAGTTGATGGTCTGTTCCACAATCAGCTCCTGGACTTGTTTTGGCTGGAGATATTGAGCCTTTCCATCGCCTCTTGCCATAGATGTAGTCAGTCTGATTCCTGTGTACTCCATCTGGCGAAGTCCACTTGTATAGCTGCCATTGGTGTTGTTGAAAAAAGGTATTTGCAATGAATGAGTCGTTGGTCTTGCAAAATTCTATCATGCAATTTCCAGCATTATTTTTGTCACCAGGGCCAAATTTTCCAATACCGGTGATTCTTCTTTGTTTCCAACTTTTCCATTCCAATCACCAGTGATAATCAGCACATCTTGATTGCATGTTTGGTCAATTTCAGACTGCAGAAGTTGGTAAAAATCTTCAGTTTCCTCGTTTTTGGCTTTGGTGGATGGTGTGTAAATTTGAACAATAGTACTATTAACTGGCCTTTCTTGTATAAACCAAACCAAACTCACTGCCACTGAGTCGATTTTGACTCATAACAACCCCTCCTTGGGTTTCCAAAGCGTTATCACTACAGAAGTAGATTGCCCAATCTTCCTTCTGAGGAGTGGCTAGTGGGTTTGAACCGCTAGCCTTCTGGTTAGCATTCAAAATGCCTAAGGCGCTATGCCAGGCCTTCCTTGTAGGCTTTTGGGTATTATCCTATCACTGACAGCATTGTACTTCAGGATATATCTTGAAACATTCTTTGTGATGATGAATACCACTCCATTCCTCTTCAGCTTGTCATTCCCAGTGTAGTAGATCAGATGGTTGTCTGATTCAAAATGGTGAAAACCGGTCCATTTCTGCTCACTAATGCCTGGGATACTGATCTTTATGTGTTCCATTTCATTCTTGACAACTTCTAATTTTCCTAGATTCATATTTTGTACATTTCATGTTCCGATTATTACTGGATATTTGTGGCTGTTTTTTCTCAGTTTGGGTTGTGCCACATCAGCAAGTGGAGGTCCCAAAAGGTCTGCTTTATCCACATCATTAAAGTAGATTCTACTCTGATGAGGCTGCTCTTTCCCAGTGGTATTTTGAGTGTCTTCTGACCTGAGGGGCTCATCTTCCAGCACTGTATTGGGCAATGTTTCAGGGCTGTTCATAACGTTGTCCAGTAATATATCAGACAGTGTTTCACTGCTATTCATAAGGTTTTCCCTGGTCAATTCTTTGAGAAGTAGATGGCTTCTTCCTTCTTTTGAGTCTGTCTCAGTCTGCAAGCTCCGCTGAAACTCATCCACCATGGGCAATCGTGCTGGCATTTGAAACACTGGTGGCCCTTAGCTGTTCCAAAACTGCTCTGCCCACTTCCAGGCCTTCTCACTTCTTGTTCCAGCCGTCCACCCTGGCTTCCTGCTTCCTGCCTGGGCAGGGGCTCTCTCTCCCCCTTACCTGTATCCAACCATCTACCCTGGCTTCCCACTTCCTGCCAGGGTGGGGGGTGACATTAATGATATTATTTGACAGTTTCCACATCCTGTGGGATCACCTTTCTTTGGAATAGGTACAGATATGGATCTCTTCCAGTCATTTGGCTAGTTAGCTGTCTTCTAAATTTTGTGGCATAGACGAGTGAGTGCCACAAGGACGGCATCCATTTGTTGAAACATCTCTGGGTATTCTGTCAATTCCTTCAGTGCAGCTTCGACTCTTTCCTCAATATCTTGGTTCTTGATCATATGCCACCCCCTGAGATGGATGAACATCAACCAGTTCTTTTTGGTACGGTGATTCTGTGTATGACTTCCATCTTCTTTTGAAGCGTCCTGCATCGTTCAGTGTTTTACCCATAGAATCCTTCGATATTGCAACTTGAGGCTTGAAATTTTTCTTCACTTCTTTCAGCTTGAGAAATGCTGAATGTGTTCTTCCTTTTCCATTTTCTAATTTCAGGTCTTTCCACATGTCATTATAGTACTTTATTTTGTCTTCTTGAGCCACCCTTTGAAATCTTCTGTTCACCGCTTTTATTTCAACATTTCTTCTTTTTTCTTTAGCTGCTCTCCATTCAAGAGCAAGTTTCAGAGTCTCTTCTGACATCCATTTTGGTCTTTTCTTCCTTTTCTATGTTTTTAATAATCATTTACTTTCTTCATATTTGCTGTTCTTGATGTCATCCCACAACTCCTGTGATCTTTGGTCACTGGTGTTCAATGGGCCAAATCTATTCTGGTCTCTAAATTCAGGTGAAATATATTCAAGATCATATTTTGACTCTCATGAGGTTGTTTTAATTTTCTTCAGCTTCAACTTGAATGTTGCATGTTGAATAAGCAGTTGATGGTCTGTTCCACAGTCAGCTCCTGGCCCTATTTTGACTGATGATATTGAGCTTCTCCATCTCCTCTTTCCACAGAGGTAGTCAGTCTGATTTCTGTGTATTCCATCTGGTGAGGTCCACATGTATAGTGACCATTTATGTAGTTGAAAAAAGGTATTTGCAGTGAATAAGTCATTGGTCTTGCAAAATTCTCTCATGCAGTCTCTGGTGTCATATCTGTTACCAAAGACATATTTTTCAACTACCTGATGCTTCTTTGTTTCTGACTTTTGCATTCCAATCTCCAGTAATTATCAATACATCTTGATTGCATATTTGGTAAATTTTAGATTGCAGAAGTTGGTAAAAATCTTCAATTTCTTCATCTTTTGCTTTGGTGGTTGCATAAATTTGAATGTTGTTTTTGTTGTTATGTGCCGTGGAGTTGGACCTGGCTCATCGTGACCCTTCCTTGGGTTTCTGAGGTGGTATCACTACAGAAGTAGATTGCCCAACGTTCCTTCTGAGGAGTGGCTGGGTGGGTTTGAACCATTAGCCTTCTGGTTAGCAGTCAAGGGCCTTAGGCACTAGGCTACCAGAGTTCCTTAAATTTGAATGATAGTGGTATTAACTTGATTTTCTTATAGGAGTACTGAAACCTGTCCACTGTGGGTGACCCTGCAGGTATTTGGAATACTGGTCAGACAACCTGTAGCCTCATAGCAACATGGAAGCTACTACAGTTTGACAAACAGACAGACAAAATGTGTGAGGATAGGGTGAGCAGGGGCATATTCAGTTTCAATTGTGGAGACTTGTGGGTGTGAGAAATATAGCCAGGCAGAGGACAAGGCTGCAGGAGGTGAGGGGTAGAGGTGCTGGGTGAGCTAGGGGAGGGTCAAGCCTGTGAGTCAGAGCCTCTGGACCTCATAAATGAGAGTGGGCAGCTGATACAGTGCCCAGGAGGATTGAGGGTGGGCAGCTGGGTAACATTAGTGTTAGGAGCAGGGGTCTCACTAGAGGGAGCTGGCATGGAAGTGGCCCTGAACAGGGTCTCTTCCCCAAACACACACAAACTAGCCATGATTAATTGTCCTATGTTTTTCAAAAGACCCCATACACCTTTTCCCTGAATGGATGGATAGAGGGCAGGGCTGAGGGCACCCTTGTAGATGAAGACAATCTTTGCTGGAGTTGGTTGCTGGCCTCATGCTCATTGGAAGCCCTGGAAGCTTCTGGAGGTGCACATGGGAGTGCTTTATTTATGATGCTGCCAGGATGGAATCCTTATTTAGGGGTGAATGGCTTTGGCCCAGAGGCTCTGCACTTCACCTTTCAACTCAGCAGGTCTGTTTTCATCAGCTACCCAGCCACCCCCCTCCCTACCCTTGTCAGTTTGGGGAGCCCAAGACGAGAGGGGCTGGTGAGTCACAGAAGCCACAAGGCATTTTCCATGAGGAAACATCAAGAACTTGAGGCTACAAAAGAGCAGCGCTTTGACCAGTGGTCACCTGAGCCCTGTGCTTCTGGGCTGGGTCTTGGCTGATGCCTGATCTACAGGTGCCCACAGCCAAAGGCCTGAGGCTGTGAGGCCTACCTTCAAGGTCCAGGACCTTGGGATAAAGGCCTCATTGTTTCAGGAAAAAGAGCCATGGTGACACAGTGGTTAAAGTGCTCAGCTACAAACCAAAATGTCAGTGGTTTGAAGGCAGTAGCTGGTCTACAGGAAAAAAAAGATGTGGAAATCTGCTTCCATAAAGATTAACAGCCTGGAAAACCTGTGGGGCAGTTCTACTCTGTCCTATAGGATCACGATGGGTTGAAACTGACATAATGGCAGTAGGTTTTGGGGTGTTTCTGGAAAGCTCTGTGAATAAGCGTTGGAGATGAATTTCTGCCACGGTCTGGTGCTGGAGACTTTAGAGACAGCAGTGAGTTCAGGAGTTCGAGAAAGGGCAGGGAGCACCTCAGACAGGATGCTGCTGGTGGAAATGTCTGGGTTGGGGGTAGAGGCCAGGCTGTGAGGCTGGTGGGGTGGTTGAGCCATTGGGGAGCCCTCAGCCCAGACCCAAGCCTTGGGGATTTACAACTGCTTACCAGGCACCGTGCCCCAAGCTCATTCTTGCTCATAGAATCTTTACTCCTTGGCCACCACTCTGGTGGCTCTCACTGCCTTCTGAACTGAGCCTAGGCTTGTCATTCTAGGGTCTGGGGCCCTTCAGGATCTGACTGCAGGCTGCCTTCCTCAGTCCTGGTTGCATCCTAAGCCTGCTTGCATCCATTGCGTGTTGGGACTCTCCCTCCCTCTCTGTCCGCATTTAAACCTTTCTGGCTTTCTGCGGGCTCCAGCCCAGCCCGCTGGAGACAACCTTCCCATAGGCTTGCTCCCTCCTGGTAGCCTCAGGGCTGCCCTGGGTTCCTCATGAGGCATCTCTGGAAGCATCTGTGGATCATGAGCAGGAAAGAGCCATTTCCTAAGAGGAAAACTTGTGCCCAGAGAGGGAGTGAGGGAGGTTGGAGTGAACCTTGACAGTGCCATTGTCATTGGGCATTGTCTGGTGTGGCCTACCCAGAAGGGCTCATGCCAAGGTATATGTCCTAATTGACAGGGCAGTGGTGATGCTTTGTGAAATGGGGGGCTGGGGCCCAGGGCAGGGGGCACTTCTTGGAGAGTCATGGGGTTGGAGCAGTAACTGGTCTCTGCTGTGGGACAGGTGCAGGAGAACTCCCCCGCCCAGCAGGCAGGCCTGGAGCCCTACTTTGACTTCATCATCACCATCGGGCACTCAAGGCTGGTGAGATCCTCCCACCCTACCCCTGCTTTCCTTGTGTGTGTATGTTTCCTTCTGTCCCACTACAGGCCTTGGCTTTGTTCCTGCCTCCCTTTTCTTCTGGAGGTGGTGCAGGCTCTGTCCTTCTTCCAGGGCTATACTCAGAGCCTAAATCAGGCTTTGTCCTGTGCTCAGCCCCTGGACTCTCTAGGAGTAAGAGGGGCTGAGGGCAAATGGATTCTTGGAGTAGGGCCATGAGTCCTTAGTGGTCTGCCTCTGAGTATGAGGGGTGGAGGGCTCTGGCCAAGGGCAGCTCAGAGTGAAACAATTCTGGACTCCTCAGGACCCAGAAGGCTTTTTGCTTGCTTTGTGGTGTTTTGGGCATGGGATGGGAGGGGGTGGAGCAGAGGGGGGAAAGATTGTCAATGCTGGGTGGTGTGGGACATTGGGGGTGGCAGTGGCAGCAGGCCCAGGCCCTCCTTGTGGACCTGGGTATGCTCAGCACCAGACCCTGCTGGGGCTGCTGGCCACCAAGGCCCTTGCCCCATCTCAGACCTGTCTGAGGGACCTGGTCCAAGTGTGGGGGGACCTCGGAGTCAGCCCCGCTCCTCCCTCAGAACAAGGAGAATGGCACACTGAAGGCGCTGCTGAAGGCTAATGTAGAGAAGCCCGTGAAGCTTGAGGTGTTCAGCATGAAGACCATGAAGGTGCGAGAAGTCGAGGTGGTGCCCAGCAACATGTGGGGCGGACAGGGCCTGCTGGGTGCCAGTGTGCGCTTCTGCAGCTTCCGCAGGGCCAACGAGCAGGTGTGGCATGTGCTGGTGAGTATAGGGCAGCAGTGTGGGTGGAGCATGGGGGAAGAAGATTAGCTGAACATGTGGGTAGGTCCTGGTGTGGGCAGGTGGTGGGGCATTCAGGAGAGGAGGGGGCTTAGAGTCCTCAAGGGATGGGCCAGGATTGTATTGGTGGGTGAGAGAGGGGCGGGGCCTGGGGAAGCAAATAGCCAACAGGTATATTTAGTGCCTAAGGCACTTGACTGCTCACTAGAAGGCTGGCGGTTCAAACCCACCAGCCACTCCTCGGAAGGAAGGTTGGGCAACCCTACTTCCGTAGTGATACTGCCTCGGAAACCCAAGGAGGGGTCGCTATGAGTCGGGGGCGACTCGACGGCAAACAGCAACAACAACAACAACATATTTAGTTGAGGCCTCTGTGAATGCTCTTTCCTTGTATTCCAGAAAGGAGTTTGAACAGTTCTCCCTGCCTCTTGTTAGCTGTGTGACTTTGTGCATTTCTTACCTTTTATACCTTGGCTTCTTATTTGAAAGGCAATGATACCATCTACTGGAAGGACACAGAGGAACTCCAGAATGCTGCTGCTGTTATTAGCCTGTCTTATCTATTTGTCATATATATATATATATATATGGCATATATATATATATCCCTACCTGTGTGTACTTATGTATTTTAATATATATATATATATATATATACACACACACACACACACGTTTAATACACTCATACGTATTTTACATATATGTAGAGAGATCTGGTGGTATGATGATTAAGCACTCAGCTGCTAACCAAAAGGTTGATAGTTCCAACCTACCAGCTACTCAGAGGGAGGAAAGACCTGATGATTGGTTACCCTAAAGATTACAGCCTAGAAAACCCTATGGAACATTTCCACTCTGTCTTATAGGGTCACAATGAGTTAGAATTGACTTGGCACACATTTGAGATATATATAACCAAAAAACCAAAACTCACTGCTGTCAAGTTGGATATGACTCATAGCAACCCCTCCTTGGGTTTCCAAGGTGGTATCACTATAGAAGTAGATTGCCCAACCTTCCTTCTGAGTAGTGGCTGGTGGGTTTGAACCACCAGCCTTCTGGTTAGCAGTCAAATGCCTTAGGTACTGTGCACCAGAGCTCCTATGAGATATCTGTATATTTTTATCTATATCCATATCCATATCCGTATATCCATATATCTGTATCTCTATATCTATATACAGTATTTTCTGGCAAGGTCTGTTAGGTAAAAGATACCTCAGTGAGCCTAGTTACTGCTGTTAGTGTGTGTTCATAGACACATGTACACTTGCGACATGTATGCTTATAGATGGAGCCCCGGATCTTTTTATTTATTCATTTTTTAACTCTTTATTGTGATTTGGGTGAAAGTTTACAGAGCAAATCATTTTCCATTCAACAATTCATAAACTTTTTGTTTTGACACATTAATTGGAATCCCCACAATGTAACAGTACTTTTCCCACTTCATCCCTATATTTACTGTTTCCATTTGTTACCCAAGATCTTGAATGCTCATTCCTACAACTTAGTGGAAGGAAGGTGCTCTGAGCTGGAAATACACCCACTCCCTGCTTACTGCCATAGTTTGGTTCCCAAGAACAGGTTGTTAAGTTAAATCAGCGTTACGTGAGGGTCTAGGCTGAGCCCAATCTTCGGCCCTAGTGTTCCCTCCCCAACAACGCACCTTGTGATGCACCTTCAGTGCACAAGGGGTGGGGAAGTGGGAGGGTTGGAAGGAGGTCAAGTGTTGCTTGCTACCTTCTGTCGCCTGCCCTGGGCTGGGACCTGACTTGTCCTCCACCCAACACCTCTTGCCAGCCTCTAGGCCAGGGCCCTGCTCGTCCTCTGTCCACCCACAGCCCCATTTGGTCCCCTTTCTTCTCCTACCCTTCCCACCTCCCCTGACTGATCTCCCCAATATCTTCAGGCCACCTGGCCTCCTTCTGCCTAACCATGACCTTGTGTCATTGCGTTGCCCTGTGCCCTGTACGGCCAGACTGAGATATGGTTGAATGGAAGGAAGGCATCCTGTGGCTGGTTGGCCGCTGGCCCTCATCTTTGCCAGAGCCTCTAGTATAGCCATGCCGGGTGGATCATGAAGGGCCTTGGCTGTGTGTGGGGTTCAGGCCATTGGAGGTGCTGCCTGAAATTGTTTCAAAGTTTCCCTGAAGTCCATGAGTGAGAGGTAGGTATAGGCTGATTTGTTTTCTAGTCTCTGTGGCTAACTGACTTCTTGGGGAGCCTGGCCAAGTTTCTCTACTTTTGCAACCTGCCTCAATTTACCCATAAGTGAAATGAGCACGTTCCTTTGCATTTCCCAGGGATACTGAGAGACTAGGAGTGCTAAAGCTTTCCACAGGCTCTTCCTCATGGGAAAAAGAGGTCATTGTACCATGTTCTGCACACTGCTCTCATCTCCTGTCTCTTCCGGGGGTCTTTCAGCCACATACCTGAAGCAGTAACAGCAATTCAACTAGGCACTGTGGGGCCAAGCTGCTGCTCGGGTGGCATAGTGCTTAAGGTATTTGACTGCTAACCAGAAGGTTGGCGGTTCAAACCCACCCAGCTGCTCCTTGGAAGGAAGGTTGGGCAATCTACTTCTGTAGTGATACTGCCTCAGCAGCCGAAGGAGGGGTCGCTATGAGTTGGATCTGTCTCAAGGCAGTGCTTTTTTTTTTTTTTTTTTTTTTTAACATACGTTATTTCTTTAATCTTCTTAGCAACCCTCTGAGTAGGTACTACTTAGCCTACGTGTAGTTACAGGAAAACTGAGCCTGAGAGAGGTTATGTAATTTGTCACACAATTACCAATTTGTAGAGCCAGGAGTTGATCCTAGGGAATCTGAGTCTAGAGCTTAGTGCTCTGAACTAGGCTATGGTGCTGCCCTCTGCTGGGAAGGTGAGGAACTGGGGGAGGTAGGGGAGTTGAGGGATATATATAGGCTGGCAGAATCTGAGCTTGAGTCCCTGGCCTGTGGACAGAAGACAGATGTCTTACTCACTGCCTGGAGAGGCATTGCTCCCCAACCCCAGTAGCCAGGCTTTGTTCATGATTCCTCCCCTAGGACGTGGAACCATCATCGCCTGCCGCCCTTGCTGGCCTGCAGCCCTACACAGACTATGTGGTTGGCTCAGACCAGATCCTCCAGGAGGTGAGGAGCCCCTGGCATGCCCACCCCAGGTCTACTGGATGGAGTTTGGAGAGATAAATGCTGTCTATGAGAAGTGTGATCTCATTTTGTTGATGCTTCCAGTGCTGGTGCTGAGAGCAGGGCTGTTTCTGTGTTTCTCATAGTCTGAGGACTTCTTTACGCTCATTGAGTCCCATGAGGGGAAGCCCTTGAAGCTGATGGTTTATAACTCAGAGTTGGACTTCTGCCGGGAGGTGACTGTAACTCCCAACGCAGCCTGGGGTGGAGAGGGCAGGTACTTCCTGGGGTCAGAGGGCTGTAGGGCTAGATGGGTAGGCCTGACCAGTGGGCATGGACTCCCAGAGTCCCATGGTGGAGGTGGAGGGTTGGCCCAGGGCCCAGGGGACTCAAGGCTGGCCGTTGGTCCAGGAGGCACCCTTTTCAACCTCTCACTGCTAATACTGGAGGGAGGTGGCTAAGGTAGGGAGGGCTGTGGGCCAGCCCCCTGGATTAGGTGTTTCTGGCCTTCTGCAGTCTAGGGTGTGGTATTGGCTACGGATATTTGCACCGGATCCCAACCCAGTCCCCCAGCCACAAGAAGCCACTTGGTTCCCTGCCACCTAGACTTATCCCTCAGGACTCTCCTGGCCCTCCCGCCCCTGTTGAGGTAGAGACGAGCTCCAGCCACGGTGACTACACAGAGGTATGTGAGGAGTATCTGCCAGCTGGGAAGGAGAAGAGAGCTTCATGTGGGAGGGACCTGCCAGGAAGAGAAGACTTTGGAAACTGCTCCTGGAGAGCCTCTAGGCAGTGTTCAGCTGGGGCCTGTGAGGCCCTCTGCTTCTAGGACCCCATCGGAGCAGGTGGACCCTGCCTGAGATGGTGAAACCCACATTTGGCTCTCCTGGCTCCTGGGTCTATGGGTGAGGGTGAAGGCAGGGTGCTAGTTGTTCTCCTTTCCTGAGTAGGAAACTGAGGTTCAGAGAAGGGAAGAGCTTTGTTTTCTGCTTCACAGTGAGTCTGGTAAAGCTGGGCCCCAGCTGAGATGATGTCTGGCTAGGTCTGCAGGGGACTGCTGGCCCCACTTTCATAGCTGTTAAACAGGTCTCGAGAGCACCTTTGGCAATAGGTTGGTGCCTCGAGGCTGAGCCGGGGGGTATGTGACGATTACTTTCCAGGCATGGCTGGATCCTGGGTTGTTGATGGAGACCCAGTGCAGCAGAGGGAACATGTTAAGGCCAGGTGGGCTTCTCAGAGGAGTAGGGAGAGTGTCCCTTTTAGGGCTGACACTGGAGGGAAACCAGACCAAGCTGCTCTGGCCTACTTCACATCACCTGTAGAGGAAGGTGCAGATCACTGTTTTCTTCCTGGAGGTAGAGCCGTGCACAAGGGGTGTGGGCGTGCTGGTGAGCATGAAGTTGGGCTGCGTAAGCCCCCATCTCTGAGCACTATCCTGATCGCCCTACCTGCTCCCTCTTCTTCCTTGGGTCTACTAGGCCCTGCTGCAGGCACCTGACTCCTCCATGGATGCACAGCTCCCTGCACCTGGGAGTCCCAGCCAGTGTGCTCCAGACCTGGAGGGATTTCCATGTGCCATGGAGACTCCTCTTCAGCCTCCACCTCCATTGCAGCGAGTCATGGACCCAGGTACTGGGCAGGCCCTGGAGGAGGCTGAAGAAGCTGCATCGCTGGTGCTGAAGAGCAGCAGTGCAAAACCTTTCTCAAGACCCGCTGACCCATTTCTCATATATGCTGAGATAGTTGCAGATTATGCAATATAGTGTACGGGTGAGGAGTCTACAGTTCAGAGAAGAGAGGAGGCCCGCTTAGGTTACACAGTGGATTGGGGACCGAGCAGGCCTGTAATTCCCACCATGCCCAGCCTCAGGCTCTTTTCTCTCAGAAAAAGGCAACGTTTTTGGAACCTCTCTGGCATTGGGTGGGAGCATCACTAAGGCTGAGATTAGTTTTACAAGCTGTGCTAGATGCCCCAGCAACAGGGCAGGGTGGGCCCAGGGTACCGGCTGTCAGTCAGGATCTGTGTTGTACCCCCACCCACAGGCTTCCTAGATGTATCGGGCATCTCCCTCTTGGACAACAGCAACACCAGTCTCTGGCCTGGTCTATCCTCTTCCACAGCACTGACCTCCACAGCCACCTCAGGGCCAGAGGACATCTGCTCAAGCAGTGGGTCTCAGGAGCGGGGTGGTGAGTGGCTGGTACCTTCTGAAGCCAGGACTCCAACTTATTGGGAAGGCTGCCCTGAACTTCTTACTTGGGTAAGAGGACCCAAGTGGGTCCTCTTGGGTTGGATATAGGTGTGTTGTACATTGGCCCACATCTCCTATCAGAGCCTAAGGTGGGAGTGAGATCAGTAAGGTAACTGTTCTAGCACCTGCCTCGTGTCCTGATCCTGCAGGCCTCCTCAGCTCTATCCTCTGTGTTTCAGGTGAGGCCACATGGTCTGGGTCAGAGTTTGAGGTCTCCTTCCTGGATAGCCCAGGCGCCCAGGCCCAGCTGGACCACCTGCCTCAGCTGACTCTTCCTGATAGCCTCACTTCTGCAGCTTCACCTGAAGATGGACTGTCGGCTGAGCTGCTTGAAGCTCAGGCTGAAGAGGAGCCTGCAAGCACAGAGAGCCGGGATTTTGGGATGGAGACTGAGGGGCCAGCTAGCCAGGCCCAGATCTCTGCCCCAGAATAATGCCCTGGGCTGGGACAGATCCCTGATGGCATCCCCTGGGGCCTAGGCCAATGATGTGCAGACTGCTGTTGCTGGGGGCACTTTTGTATCCTGTTTCTGGTCTCCAAATGACCCCCCAAGCATTCACTCTGCTTGATGGTCCTAGTTTTGGAGAATTGGGCACTGGAGGGTACCTAGATGAGTCCTGTTGGTGTGATAGAGGGCTAGGAGCATCACCCAGATTAAATATTTTGTACAGGAGCTGGTGTTGGAGGGAAAGGATTCTTTGCTGCTTATGTGGGGCTTGGAGCTTGGGTGGGTAGTGGCAGAAGGCCTTGGGGGATGGCATCTTTTTGCCGTGCACCTCCAAGTCCTGTGACTTGATTATTGTGGCTGCCCAGAAGGCGGCAGGGTCCAGGCATGATCAGGTGGGAGGATGGGATGAGGGGAAGCAAGGAGTCAATGTGGAATGTTTGATGGATTGCTCTGTAGGGCTTGTCTTGGTTGTTCCTGCACAGCTAGCGTACCAGAAGGAACCCCCAAACTATACGGATCCCTGAGCCCTAACACTGATTTCAGTGCACTTCTGTCATGTGTCCTCACCCCTGTGCCACTCTAGTCACCACTGGCTCAGTCCAGCCAATGCATGCCAGTCACTGTTGGAGGAGAAAAGCAGGGTACTTGCTCACCCCTCCCGGGGTTTGTGTGCATAAATCCTGGCTCTTTAGCATAGATCCACCTGGACCATGATGTTCCTTCTTCCCCAGAGCCTATCAGCCACAGACCTGTAACCCCCAGTGGCAACCTGTCAGCTCCCAATCTATACAACAATAAATTTCTAAACCGATGAGGCAGCCAGCCCAGCCCCAATGAATGAAAGTTGCAAATTCTTTCACGTTCACCATAAACAAACTCACACAGTTATCTATCTTACTGGATGTGTTCATACACAGCCCCACTCCATGGGGGAACCGGGACAAGAAAATGAGTGGGTAACAGCCTTCACCAAGAGGGAGGCCGCTTCCCCTACCCTACCCTATCCCCAAGTGCCTTTGGAGGCGTTGCAAGGCTAGGCTGGGTCTTCTGCTTTGTGCCACTCCTGCAGGGAGGGCTCCATCTAGGGATGGCTGCCCACCACCTGACGTCCTCTGCTGCCCTGGCTAGGCCCCTCACCTTCCCACACACCTTGCTAACTATGAAAGTGGCCTCGTCTTCTAGCCTTTTCCCAGTTGGATGTCCCACTTTGACATCTTGATGTGTCATGTCTGTACTAACAGGAACTCAGGAGCTCTGTTAGGTCCACAGGACAAGGACTGCCTGCTCTGCAGTACATATGGTGGAGCACAGACCAAGTACTTGGAGGGAGAGCCCAAATTAGTGAACACCTCAAATTTTAAGCACCACGACTACATTCAAAGTAAGCCCTTGTCAAGCCTATCAGAGCAGCCAATAAGCCTGCAGAACAGTGAGGCATTGTGTCCAAGGCCAGTGCTAGACTATGGTTCTTGAACTGACTGGGAGCCCAGTCTATCTGCAGGAATCCAGGAAGTAGAACAGAACTGCCACAGGACTGTTCTGAGGCCAGCTTCCCTTAACTGTCACCTGGCAGTCTGACCCAAAGTTGCCTTCACCAAAAGGTTCTGGTTCTTTCCTCTTCCACTCCCCACCCCAACATAAACTAGGAGATAAAATGGACATCAGTGCTAACTATTCACAGGGTGAATGTGAAACCAGGTTTTTTAATTTCTCTGTAATTAAGGAAAATGACAAGTGAAGAAAATAAATGTGTACTATGAAATATTTTAACTAAAGCCTTTATTCTATACAACTGTGAAATACATATTTTTACCCTTTTGGCATTGCAGACTGACAGATTTTCTGGAAATTGCATTATTGGTTTGACTGGGAAAGAAAAAAAAAACCATGCTGGGGTCAGTTCGATGATGGGAAGGGAGCCTGGCTGCCCCTCAAGGTTCGGCACAGAGGGCACAATCACCCAGCAGAACCCACTCCTCTACCTCAAGGGCCCCTTGTGCAAACAATGGAGAGCTGGTAAATGAGTTACGATATCTGTGGGGTTGGTTTTTCTGCCATTAATTCATAACTATTGCTAAAAAATGTGCGCCAAAAGTGCACTGTTGTATCCAACAGATACATAGAAAGGACTTTTAAAAAAAGAAGCCAAGTTACTCTCTGCAGAAGGGAGAAAGACCATTTCATCTCACTGGAAACGTGGCCATGTCTTTGCTCACTTCTTCAAAGTGCAGGAGGCCATGACCTGCCTACTTCCTACAGAAAGCTGACCAGCAGTGAGGGAACCCTGTCTCTGCAGCTGTGCGGATCAGAATGTCTTAAATAGGATCATCTGGACCCAGGCCCATCAGCTGCCCTCAGCTGAACCTGTGGTGATGTAGAAAAGGAAGAACCTTCCCCGGCCCCCTCCCTAGCCCTGCCGTTGTGGGGACAGGCCGCACACAAGCTGGGGAGGCAACTGGACTGGAAAAAACTGCCCTGTGAAGGCACTTGTGCTTCTGGCTTTGTATAGGCGGCTTATCTTATGTGGTTTTACGGGGTGAACCATTGATCTATTCCAAATACAAATGACCTTGGGGAGAATCCAAAGTATTTTTTCTGCCAAAAGTTAAAGTGTTTATCCCCAATAAGTTATATTCTGTACAAGATCCAAATGACTCTATGAAAGCTTTAAATTGTTAGAAAGAACAGTGAAAAGAAGATCTGGATACAGGTACAACAAAAACCTGCATATAAAACTTTGGAAAAACAAATATGTATACTTCCAGGATATGAATATCAAATCAAGTCACTATGATACCTCTTTACTCTGACACCATAAATTTTAGGTAGCATTCCAATGAAATTAAAATTTCAGAATGTTCTTAAGTTTTGACAGTGTCAGGCTGCTCACCCAGAGCAAGAATCTGGGGCGTCAGCTGGCTTTGCCCATAAATAAAGCTGGACACAGTGCAGAAGGAGTGAGACAGCTGTGCTTCCCTGCAGCTGCCGCACAGCCCAGGGCATTGTGTGGGCTGCGGCATCGGCGTGGCTCGGCCTGGCAGTCAACATGCTGTGATCCAGCACCTGGAAATTCAACAGCTCTTCCTACAGAACACATCTGAGATGCAGTATTAAAAACAAGCCCAACTGTTATCATTTATTATGAAATGGGCTGGCTCTCGAATTGTGCAGCAGCAAATTCCCATTAAAATAACTGTCTTTAAATGGTGAGAACAATTTGATTTTTTTGTTTTTATGACAAAATTGGAAAAAGCCTTCATAGGTACTGCATGAATGGAATGTACTCTTAGAAAAGCTACAGAGCGTGTAGGCTGGAACTATATTTGAAACACAGTGACAGATGTGGCCCGACCAATGTGTCTTTAACATGTGCTGACAGACAAAGATAAGGTCCTTTGAAAACAAAAGGAGGAAGCAAAGTCTGCACTGGCCTGTCATCGGTTCTCTGTATATCTCACAAGACAAGTCTACTTGAAGAGGTCCTCTGCTGTCATATTCTGCCTCCCTGGGGACAGCTTAATCTACACATGGAGACTGGTTTCTATATTACATCTCAATTAGTCACTTCAATTGAAAGATAATCCTGGTCCATACCAAATCGGCCATTAGAAGTCTTGCTCCCATGGGGGCTCAATGGGCTTCCTAGGACTACTCTTGGGGCCACAGAGGAAGGTCAGTAAATGAATACCCAGGAGCACTGGCCCACCCTTCACGTTGACTTCTGCCGGTAATGGAGGGTGAGGTCACCACCACTCTTCCATATGAAGTGCTTCACGGTTCGAAGGTCCATATTTGGATCTAAAACCTGAATAGCAAAAAATAAAAACAGTAAGTCTCTAAACTCTAAAACCTGTATTGCTAATTCAGCTTGTTCCCTCCCCACCCACCTTGGCAGCCTGCTCTTGCTGACACAGCTTCCATGCATGAGACTGGACACAGGGAACAACTGTGCAGCTGATGCAGCCATGCCAGAAACCCTGGCCATCCTTCAGTCATCCCTCTGAAGAAACACCTTGTGTGTATCTTGATTTAAAAGTGCTCTGTCACTTCTCTGCCTACCTCCATCTTAAACTAACATGGTAGATGGTGCCCTGCCAGTCAAGACCACATGTGTTTCTCCTCAGGCTGAGACCAGGGCTTTGAAAACAGTTCTTCCCAGTTCAGTCATGGCTGAGGAAACAAAACTGGGACAGACAGGAATTTTTAAAATCTGGGTGAACCAGAATGATACCAGGAATGGGAAAAATTATGGGTTGAAACCCTGCCAGAAACTTAATCTCCCTCTTAGAAAACAAGGGCAGTTTATGTGCCTATCAGCCAAATCTCTTGCCCATGAGATTTTGAGCAAACAGTTGTGCCCTGCTCAAAGATGGGGGCCAACTGCTCTACGGTTGAATGTGTGTCACTATCCTCAGTCCTACCAATAATCCAACCTCACACATTAGGGACCTGAAAGGGCGCACTGCGCCTCTCCTGAGTGTCCCATTCCAGGGCTTTGATTTGTAATTTTTGCAGTTGCTGTTATTGTTCCAGATTACCCAAATTTTAAAAATTCAGGTCTGTTCTAGTTTTGCTTTGTTGGCCATGACTGAACTGGTTTGAAGCCCTGGCTGAGACTGACCAACTCTTATCAGAAAAAAAAAGCACCTGTATATTCACATTTGTCTATATGTGCATTTAAATCTCTGTAAGTAGGGTAGGCTGAAGAGCTTCTCCACACAGAACCTCAGAAAGGAGGGGCTCTTTAGGCCTTCTCTAAAAGCACAAGTCCCTCAGGTAATAGATTTGGGAACCATAATCACACTCTATTACGTAACTATTTCTCAATACCAGCAGCACTTTAAAAATAATAAAAAAAAAAAAATCGAGGCTGTGGTTCTCAAATCCACTCACCTGGTCCTGGCACAAAAGTTCAATTTTCTCCTCTGCCAACACAGCAATATCCTCTTCTTTTTCCTGTTCTCCTGGTTTTTCATTATTAGAAGAGCTAGTGGTTTGAGACTCATTATCCAAGTTGATGATTTTCTCATAAACATGTTCCATTACTTTCCGGACCTGGAGCATGTCACTAGCAGAGAGTCTATCTCTGTAAGAAGTAAAGGCAGATTATGTTATCAGGGATATCACTAGATAACATCTTTTCCATGTTATTTTCCTTTGGTGTTAGCATTATATAAAGATAAAACATACCACAGAAACAAGAACCAATACATGGCTTTTATGTCCCTTAAAAATTTTTCCAGAGCATGGGCAAACTAAACAGCCACTGAAAAGTAGGAAACATGACTTGGAGAAGGCATCCCAATGCTTATGTAGGGTCCAATGCTCTTGGTGCCCATTTCTCCCTGAGTCAGCTCTGCCATGCCTTCAAAAAACACCTGGGAGCAGATGACTCCACAGCCTAGACCCCAATTGTCAACCTCTTGCCTGAGCTCCAGTTAGATGTCCCACAGGCATGCCAAACTCTCCAAGCCCAAAACTAGACTCATCAACTTCTTCACTCTCAAGTCTACTCCTGTATCTCCAATGTCAGTCAAGGATGGTCAATTCAAGCAGCTTAGGCTCAAACTCCAAAAGCCATTTTCAACTTCAGTCATTAAACTGACACTGAAGTAATGTCTAAGACTTGCTTTAAAGTAATTCAGTATGTACAAGTGCACATGAATGGGAAGTGGTGGGGAGTGGGCAAGTAGGAAGAGGTACAAATGAGGCAACATCAAGCCAAGTGTTTACAAAAGCAGTTTGACGGGTCAAGAGGGTTCATTATCCTATTCTTTTTGTTTTGTTTGGAAATTTACATTAAAAAGGGATTTAAATTAGCCTTAATGGCTAACTAGAATATACTTATCGTTCACAGTTCAACAACCTGTTCCTAGATTCCTAAAATTCTTCTCTCAGGTCTCCTTGTCTTGAGCCTCTCCCTAGGTTACACCCCTGCTGTTCAAACTACTGGCCCCGAGACCACTGATTCTTTTTCCTGACTTAATCCCAGTGGACCCTGCCTCTCCAGTCTATGGTCCAGCTACCCTGGTCCTCACTAATTTCTAGTATCTTATGCATACTCTCACTTCTACACCCCCGATCAAACTCTTTCATGGGCCTCTAAGACGCCTTTTTTCTTTATTAAAACTTTTTTTTGTGTGATTTGGATCAAAATTTACAGAGCAAATTCATTTTCCATACAGCAATTCACACACATTTTGTTTCATGACATTGACTGCAATCCCCATAACAGCTCTCTTTCCACCTCCTCCCTTCTTTCCTAGGCATTCCTGCAATGGGCCTGTAATATTTGTGTTTTGAAGTTCTACCTACCCTTTACATATCCAGGTCAAAGCTATTCCCTACAGCATGCCTTTCTGGAAAGCTGTAGTCAAAAATTCATTTCTGTACCCCATTCTCATCATACCCTAAGTCACCACAGAAGCAGTTATACACAGAATGTGTCATAGGCTACGAATTGTGGCAGGAGACAAAATCCATGTCTTATTTATTTCTAAATACCTGTAGCCTACCACACAGTAAAAGCACTTGGTAAATGTTTAAACTTATAAACTTTCAATATTGCAAAATCAGTCTTAGATCTAATACTTGCCTTTTTTGCTATAAAAGCAATCACAGGGAATAAGAACTCTCTCTGGTAATTAACTAGATCAAGGAACATATAATACTACAGTTACTTACTTTTTTAAGGTTTTTGCTCCCGAAGATGCATGAGGTTGGAGGTAGAAAGGAATTTTGTTGAATTTGGGCATATTTTTCTGAAATATTAGAAGTTAAAAAGGTGTAACAGTTCCTATTAGTTGATTAACTAAAATAATATCAATAGGAAAATGTGCCGTACAAATACTAGGTTTTTACAGTCAAATACTACTTTCTATGCAATATCATAAATTCAAATTAGAGAAAATTCATCAGAAAACTTTAACAGTTTAATAATAAAAGAACTGTACAGACAAATTATGTGTAATGGCAGTGGCAACTGGAAATAGGAAGACAGGGCTTTCCTCAAATAACAGTACGAGGTATTACAGAGAAATAAACTTGAATTTTTTAAGTCATACAAACCAAAATCTCAATTCTACATTAAAATATTGGGACTGATACCTAAGAGCTCAAACAAAAAATTCAGCAACTTGAGGGAAACCCACAGCATGCACCTTTGAGCAAAGCTATATACTTCTATGCCGGTGAGGCCCACCATCCAACTGAAAAGGCCAATTAGGTTCTCCCATTTCCTTTCCCTCTGACTGATAGAGTGAGGTCAAAGGTTTAAACAAGAATGAAAAGTTGAGCCAACCACCTAGATGTCTATCAGGAAGTAAACCACATACTTAGAGAAAGAATGAAATTAACTGGCCATCCTTTTTCTCTGGGTATCAATCCCCTCCGAGCCTCACGGATAATGTCATATCCTGCCTGGATGTCTCCTCTCAGAAATAAGTCATAGGCCTAAAGTCAGCAATGCCATCCCAGGTGAGTTTCACACTCAAAGGAAGTAGTGGCTTATCGGGAGCTCAGATATAGGAAGACTATGGAATAGCCACTGGATGTCACACTGGCTTTAAGTTCTTAGAGACTTATCTGGGACAGAAAACACACTTGCTGAAGGTTCCAGAGATTAAATCTCTTTTCACAGGCTTCAGGAATATACAACAGCACATAAGAGAGTCCAGAAACGAACCCATGTGTATACAGAAATTCAGTATATGATAAAGACAGCATTTCAAATTAGTAGAAAAAGGATAGATTATTCAATAAACTGTTGAGACACTGGCTATCCCTCTGGAAAAAGTTAGAATTCTACCTCACATCCAATAGAACAATAAATTCTAGTAAAGATCTAGACACAAAAAAATTATAAAGGTACTACAGGAGAATGGAGAAGTCTATTTTGGAGTGGAAAATACCTAAGCAGCAAGACATGAAACTCAGAAGCCATAAAAAAATCAATCTAATTACATAAAGATTAATACCTTTTGCCTGGAAAAAGACACCATGAACAAAGTAAAAATTCAATTGAGAGACACAGATAATAGTCAAAGGGTTAATATTCAACATAAACAAGTCCTATAAATCAGTAAGAAAGACAAGCCAATAGAAAAATGAGTAAGACTGTAAGTAGGCAATTCACAGAAGAAATACAAATGGCCAATATGAAAAGATGCTTAGCCTCACTATAAATTTTTTAAAAATCCACATTAAAACTATGAGATGATATTTGCCTAGCTTTTAGTAAAGATGAAAAGTATCCAGCATTGGTGAGGGTATGGGGAAATGGACAGTTGTACACTGTTGGTGACAGTGTAATCTGGTACACCCTTTGTGAAGGGCAATTTGGCAGTATCTATCAAAATTTAAAATGTGCATACCCTTTGATCCAGCAATTCCACTTCTAGGAATTTATCCTAAAAAGTACACAAAGATATATGTACGAGGATGTTCACTACAGCATTGTTTGTAATAGAAAACACTGGAAACAGACTAAATGTCCATTAATAGGGAACTAATTAAATAAATTATGGTACATTTATATAGTAGAATAATTATGCAGTCATTAAAAAGAAATAATCCATATGTACAGACATGAAAAGATGTCTGAGATAGATTTTTAAGTGGAAAAAACAAGATGCTGAATAGTATGTCTGAGTTTTTGTGCAAAATAAAAGTAACTATACATATACATATACAGACAAATAAGATATGCTTGTGTATGCATAGAAAAGTATTGAAGGCTATGCAGGGCACTATTAATAGTTGTTAACTATGGGGAGCGGGATGGGGAGTGAATGAGAGAGGAGTGACTGGGGAAGGGATGGAAGTTTCACTTTATTCATTTATTATTTTCTCTAGTAACCATGTATTATTTTTATAATTAAAACCCAATAAAGATAGACAAAGGTATGTAAGCAACGCTCAATACTTTTTCTGCAACTTTGGAACTGGAGGGAAGCAGATGAGGATTCCACTTGGCAGTCTAGTTTTTATTAAGAGGTTAAGAATATACAGTCTAAGACATTTCTTAATTTCCTTCATGATTTGGAAAAAATAACAAGGCATAGTGGGAGTGGAGGCCACTTACATCCACAGTGATGTCAATTACCCATTGTGGTACCGTCTCATTAAGAAGCATGGACTCAGTCTCACCCCCGGAATCTCGGCAGAGCAGCCTAAACAAAATCCATCAGGTCTTAAGTGACACAACAAGCAGAGATGGCAAAATCACCGTCAACAAACATTAGAGGGAGGGACTCTTTTATAGAGTTCTTCCAGGATAACCCCCACGTGACAGTACAACCAGGCAGAATGACTCATCCAACCAAAAGGGAGAGTGGGCTCTAAAACGTAGGCCTGCAGATTCCAAGGCCAGGTATATGCTCTAGCTGCCTCTCTGAGCCCTTGGGTGATGACAGGAAACCTGGGCAATAGGCAAAAGTACTTCAGAAAGGGCAAGTGCTACAGAACATGGATGGCATGCACCTCTCCATTCAATGATGAGGTAAGGATATTTTTGGTGACCATATTCTCGAAAATTATCATAAGGGAGGACACTTCTATGCTCAAAGGCAAAACAAGGTTTTTTCTTACTTACAAAACCTAGAGGAGACTCTGGTAAGCTCTCCCTCCTGGTTCTACCAGGGCCTTGCTGGCAACTTACAGATGAAGACAGTCCAGGCTGGGCCCATGAAGGAATGACTGGCACCCCAGCCCATCCTGCCTGGCCTAGCCTGAGGGAAGTTCCCTACTCTGAACTCTCCTGTGGGCAGGGACTTCCAGCGATGCTGCCACTTGCTCCTAACCCTGGCAGTCATGCTGGCAAAGTGAGAGAAAGTGATGATTTCCTGCAGAAACCACCAGAGAAGCTGCCTCAAGGGAAGGCATGCATCTACCTCATTCTAACACTAGAGAGTGAACTATCAATTTAAATGCCATCTAATAGCATCACACACTTAACTATCTCATGGAGATGGAAAAGCTTCCAAATCCCGAACATCCCTAGAAATTAGTAACAACTTTCACCATCTGTTTGAATCAATACTTCTTAGCAAATAGGATGTATTCTCAGTTGGGGCCTTGGCCCGCTCTGTCCATACCTGAACAGTGTGCGGCCTCCAGCTTCACCAAAGATCACGGGTGTGTGTGGGGGCACTTGAAAATACCCATTTCCCTTCTGCACTCGGTTCTCTTGCTCCCCATTTACTAGGAAAAAAGGGTGTTAGTATCCAGAGTTAGAGTTAAAATCATAGATTCTAAACATTTTATTTTTATAGACTTCAAGCAGTGTAAGATTTTAAAAGTCCTATGAGTCAGCCAGAGTCAGAAATAAAGGGTAAAAAACAAACCAAAGTTAAATTCCTGAAAATAAGAAACATGGCACCTCGATGTACTCGGAAAGAAATGACTACAATTGGAGCATGAAAGATATGTCATATTTGAAACAAAAACACAATCCACCACCTCAGCTATAGGGAGATCTAGGTCTACCTGTTCATAATTGAATATCTACTTTCTTTGGTGGAACACTGTTATGGATTGAATTGTGTACCCCCCAAAATATATACAATAAGCTAAGACTTCTAGCCTCTTTCTTTCTTTTTTTTTTAATATTATTATTATTTTTTTATTGTGATTTGGGTGAAAATTTAGAGTAAATTCACTTTCCATACAGCAGTTCACTTTGTCTCATGACATTGACAAGGCAACAGCTCTCCTCCCGATAGTTACCTCCATGCACTCCTGCCCTCTGAGCTGTCTCCCTGTGTACAAATAGCCCTTCTTTCTCCCATGATTGTTCTCTCCAAGGACTGTATCTACCTCAGGTAAATGATCAACTCATATGCCTGTCTTTTGTTTGGCTGGAAGCCACAGGTGTGGGTTCAATTCCAGACCTGAAGGGCAGCTAGGGGCCATAGTCTCAGTGGTTCCACCAGGCTCTGACTTCTAGCCTCTTGAACTGTGAGAAAATAAATTTCTGTTCTTTAAATTCACACCCTTGTGGCATCTGTGTTATAGCAGCATTAGGAAACGAAGATAAACAGAAGCTTAGAAGAATTTCTTGGGCAAAAACATGAATTTTTGTTCAATGGCAGTCAAAGTAGAGGTTATTAGTGAAAAACAAAATTCTTAAAGAGGCCATAATCTCATTTTTGTTGTTCTCTGAAGATTTCATCTCCAGTCTGCTTTGTTTGTAATCTTTTGGCCCAAGTGCAGCTACAAATGATGATAATGACCCCAACTCAAGAACCACCTCATTCATGAAGAGTTCCCTAATCAGACTGGAAGCAATCTCACCCTCTGAAATCCTACAGCACTTTCAGAACCTCTCCTGTACCACCCAACATTTCCATCTCATCCCACAGTATTTTATGTAAATACTGTAACTCTGTTCTCTCAGAATATCAGTTCTAGAGGACAGGGTCCATGCCCACTTATCTTTATTACCCTCACCTGAACTTGCCAAGAGCCTCTGAATACTTGAGTTGTTCAACAAGCATAACCCAAGCAACAGTTAAGTATGGGCGGGGAGGCACTGTGTAGGGTACAAGTGCAGCATATTACCAGACAAGTGGTGCATAGAGTCCTGAGCTCTAACCAAAGGTGGACAGGACTGGCCCTGCCTTTCCCATGGCAGTCTGGTTTTAAGCATGATTTAGAGTTTCCTATGACTTCTTCCTTACTCCCTCAATGCTCTTCCCTAAGGCATGGGTCCATGGGGTGCTGACTGTACCATTGGGTTTTGATTACTTAATCCTTATGGTGTCTGTCTGAGCCTCTGAGGGCATCCTTTTTAACCTTGTGTTACAGACAGAGAAGGACAGGCTGAGAATAGGAAAACGATCTGCCCACAGCTACTCAGCTGATAAGTGGCAGAGCCCACACCACAGCCTAGGTTTCCTGGCCCTCTGTGGAGGGATCTTGCCATTACAGTTTCTCTGGCTCACAGTCCACTGTACAATTCTGAAAGGGAGTGAAATGGGCCAGCTGACATAAAAGAAAAACCACCTTGGGTAGTTTTTCTTGGGTAGGGTCAGGGGCCTGTCTCTGATAGGCTTCATTACAAGACTGGCTCTCAGGGAAGCATGTTATCCTCACAAAAGAGATATAAATTCCAAAAACTATTATGGATCAATCAGTCTGCTGGAACAAAGTCCCTGGCATGAGGGCCTCATCGTTCCTGTCCACTCCTGATGGTCAGCGGGGTAAGCCTTTGACAAATGATTCTCAGCGTTAAGTTACACAGGAGCTGTGTAATTCTGAGTTCTTTTTTTCTCCCCCTTTCTTTAATAAAACTGATCCAAATTCATAAATTTAAAACATACTCTGCTGCACAAGATGGTTACTGCCACTTCTTATGGCATGCATACCTTTTGAATGTCCTCAATGACATTAATTCTTCACACACCTACCCTTACACTTAACCTGCTACTTCTGAGTTGGAATTTAATTTTTTAAAACATTCAGAGCTAAGATCAGACAGATCGTCAGGCTAGATAATCCAGTATTTCAGACTAACATGAAGAATGGCTATACAATGACAAACATGGTTTTGTGGTGCAGCTTATTAGTTAGCTTTGGAGGTAAATCCAGAAGATCCACAGGCACTCTGGAGAAATATCTTTGGATAAGTCTACTAAGGTGACTGCCTTTAAGGACAAAGGTCACTTGAATATACAGTTTACTGTATCTATCTTGAGCAGTTGTACTGCTATTTGAACTTATACAAGAAGATAGTCTGCTTTCAGAATCTCACTCCTGGTTAAATATGGATGGAGAGTCTTAATTGCAATGTGGATGGGAGTGCAATAAATGGTAACCCTACAAATATTTAATATGTCCTGTTTTAGCAAATGCTTACAATCATGCTTAAAAGAGCTAACAGTCTTAAGACTCTTACTAACTTTTAATTCATTATCTTGATATAAAAACACTAACCATGGTTTACTTCATTTTCTTCTTCATCCATTGGATTCACATGTGTTCTAGGCCAATATTCTAGGAGTGCCTGAAGTAAAAGTCCTCCTAAGTTCACTGCAAAAAAAAATAATAATAATAATTCAAAAGAAAAGAAATGGGAAACAGAGTTAGTTTTAACCTAAACACAGAGGTAAAGAAATAAAAATTACAAGGTTCCATATATTCTGATAATTTAAATTCTTAACCCAATGCCAGTGATGTTTAAATCAAGACTTCAAAGATTTTGCAGTCTGTTAAGTTTTATCTTAGAATATTTAAAGCAATGATGATATTCTGTTTGGCCCTTTAGATATCATCATTCTTTAAAACACAACCAACAAAAACTGAGGAACTGCATTCTCTAAAAGATTATTTCCATATGAAACCACTGAGACCACATTTAGATACATCAGGTATTTCTGTATGTCATATTCTTTTGAGAATACACACCAGGGATCTCATCAACAACACGAAAAACTCTTATAAAGATGAAGAACACAGCAGAAAACCAGGACAGATCCACCTTCTCTTTCAGAGAGAGAAAGGGAAGGCAGATATTGAAACTCACATTTTGGATCTGACCCGTCAGGGCTGCTGAAGCCAGCATCTTTTGCAGAAACCCAAGCAGCAAAACAGTCACTCTCATCCAAAGTAATAGTCAACATCTGTCCAAAGACAAAAATTGTTAGTGGTATTCCACTTAAATACATCTTCTGAATAAATCTCTTAAGCCCTTGTTTGTTTGTACAATTTGACTAAAGTGCTATGCTACAGTTTCAGGAACCAACATGTACTTCATGGGATTCACCAAAACCAAACCCATTGCTGTTGACTTCATTCCGGCCCACAGGAGAGTAGAACTGCCCCATGGGGCTTCCAAGGCCATATCTTTTTGGGAGCAGAATGCCTTATCTTTCTCCTTCAGAGTGGATGGTGGGTTCTAAACACCAACTGTCTGGTTGCAGCTGAGTGCTTTAACCACCGTGCCACCAGGATTCCTCACATGATTCAATGCACCTCCAACTTAGTTTACTTAGATACCAAGGGCATTTAAACTGCATTTTGTACTAACGTCAATTTTTTTTCTTTCACACTTCAAACACAAAGGATTCTTTAAACACTTAATTACGAGCTATATTTGCAAAGTTTCAACTATTTCAAACGACACAAATATTAATTGGTAACTTACCCCTGTTTTTAAGTCTACTGAAAACCAATTTGGCACATACACCATTTTAAATCTTTTCTTAATTTCATCTTCAAAATCCACTTTGCCCAGATCTTCAACTTTACATGCCTACACATGAAGAAGAAAACAGGATGATTATCAATATGAAGGGGTAAACTGATTTCATTCTGATTTTGCACATTGGTCTACATGGAATCCACAATACATTTCAAAAGGAATGTGGTCAGGTATTTAAAGGCAAACATTTTAAGATAAAAATTATCTGCTGTTACTAAATTTTTTAATTAAAAAAATTAAATATGCAAAATATCATTTTTTCCCTCTTCAGAAATTGTATTTTAATTTTGCTGATACTGATATAACATACCAGCACACTTATCTGAAAGTAATGTCAAATGACTCAAGAAAGGAAACCAAAAAAACTCCACTTAAGAGAGAACTGAGAAGCTACCCCCTGAAAACAGCTACAACATAAGCAGCAACTTACAAGATTTTCTTTCTTGACTATTACACCTTTCCCTTATTCCTTCTCTCAGTCCCTAAATATATGTGCTCCCCAAAAGTATGTACTGAACTGCCTCTGACACCAAGTGGCATTTTAAATTATAGCTCACCCCAATTCTGAACCACAGCACAGAACAGTTCCTACCACCTCATCTGAGCAGTAACTTGGCCCTTTCCTGAGAGTCCTACTTCGTCATTAGTCTTCTCAAAGGTAAACTGCCTATTCTTCCACATCCCACATGGAGACCATTACGCCACCTTCTCCAAATAGGGGGAAGCTCTGATGGCATAGTGCCTAAGGCATTTGACTGTTAACCAGAAGGCTGACAGTTCAAACCCACCAGCCACTCCTCGGAAGGAAGATTGGGCAATCTACTTCCACAGTGATACTGCCTTGGAAACCCAAGGAGGGGTTGCTATGAGTTGGACCTGACTAGACAGCAGTTTTTTTGTTTTTTTTTGGTCTCCATGTAAGAACTCCTATTTCTTTGAGACCCATTCATTTAGTTGCAGTAAACTGGACCCCTTTTCCTCCCTGCCATCTAGTAACCTCAAGGTTATGCTCCCTCAATCACTGAAGACTTGAGCCTGGTTCAATGTCTTGCAGATCACCTCAAGTTCTTGCTTTCATCCTGGACATGACTAACAGCCACATGGACAATGTATATGACATGTTAGCCTCTCAATTCCTTGACAATAATGCCACTGTACATGCAGTCACCAACATCATCTGGATCATTACCTTACTCAGGATTTCTTGTTTCCAAAGTAAGGTGCCTACAACTCTCTGCTCTCCTTATACCTTTGATGTTGCCTCCTACTTATTATGTGTCAGGCACTATGCTAAATAATTCTCAGACATCCTTCCAACATCTACCAAGAAATAGGTACATTCCTTGGTAGGAGGACAAAGATGTAGAGATGTTCAGCATAGTCCCTGATCACTTGGTTAATAGACAGCAGAGCCAAGATTAGAATGCAGCTCTGTCCATCTCCTGAGTCTATGCTCCTGAATACTCCTGACTTCCCTACTTCTCTTTAACATGTCTATTGCACTTGATCATGTGATCTCAAAAGTTTGAAGCCAATGTCTGGATATGAGAAATTGCTAGGTACACAGAAATACCAATCATGGTACATGCCAGCTGAGAGCCCTATCTAAGCAGAACTCTCTCTCATTCAGATAGCAGGACTCTACTCAGGCCTCAGTTAATTAGATCAAGAGTGGACATCTGGCCCATAAGCAGGAAATTAGTATGTCAACTCTCAAACAGCAGCTGGCCTGACCAGATTTTCTTAGATATTCTAGAGAGTATCAGGTACTGAGCAGCATGAAATAAAGCCCAGCGACAGTAAGGCTACATTAGTGATGAACTGGAGGCATAGTGCCTAAGACATGTGACTGCTAACCAGAAGGCTGGCAGTTCAAACTCACCAGCCACTCCTTGGAAGGAAGGTTGGGCAATCTACTTCCGTAGTGATACCACCTTGGAAACCCAAGGAGAGGTCGCTATGAGTCAGATCCAACTCCATGGCAATGAGTTCGGTTTGGTTTTATCAAAGTGAAAAATCAAGAATTCCTGTTGCTGATGTCCTTAGGGCTGCTCTGGATCCTCCTAGTCCCCATTGAACCCCTCTCTGAAACAATAATGACTTTCTATGCCCACCCCCTTCCCAGGCATATCTCTATTACAGAGAAAAACTTTTGGAGTCTGCTCTGATTAAACTTTCCATTCAAATAACTAAGGCTTCTTGTTTGGAGGCCATGTTGCTCACCAAGAAACTGTTTCATAATGTGACTTCCCACATAGCTACCCCACAAGGAGTGACAAGTCAGGCCAAGGGATTCTATTCAGAGACAGTCCTTTAACCCAGTAAGGAACTTATCTTATTCCTTATTTCATGAAGTTAATTTAAGTAAATATCCATTCCTTGAAACCAGACGCCCAAATAAACACCAGACCTTTTCAATTCTTCCTTTATAATATGCCGAGCATCTGTCTCTTCTGTTAAATCTCCCAGATCATTATACTTAAGACAACTATCTCCCAGGTTCCACTTTCCCATTACATGTATTACTACTGCTCTGATAGTGGGATTTTCCTGTTCTGAAATCATGCAAGAGTCTTCAGGGTGTACCAAACAAAGGCTAATTATATACTTTTCAATTCAGGATCTTTTGAAAATGCCCTGAATGTCTGCTTTCATTCTTATACTCTATTTCCTGGTACTCAGTCTCCAATTAAACTAAACTGCTCACCTTGCCCTGCAAACGCATGTACCAACCCTCTTCTGTGCCTCTGTCATTCACTTTCTTCTTGAATGGCCTCTCACTCTCCATCTGCTGGAATCTTTTAAGCCCTTTTTCAAATGATTTCTCCACCATGAAGTTCTCTTGACTTTTCCAGTTGTAATTGCCCTGGTCCATAAGCTATCCCATGATCTGTTTATTCTTTACATATAAAGCTTTTTATATTGCCCACTCTTGTCCCTTTTACCAGAAAGGATCATGGTAGAGATGATTCTGTTACCTTGGCTCTTAACATACTCTGCATATAGTATTCATCCAATTCAGGAAATATTTGTTGAACAAATGAAAAAATATACCAACAACACTAAGGGTCATTTGTCATAGTTACAAAAGCATATTAACTTTTCAGTTTCCCTACCCATTCTTCAGTGCTACTGATAATGTGGCTGAACAGTTTAATGCATTGCACCTGTTCCAAAGGAAGTCATATCATGGCCAAGTCTCGTAACTGATGCTCCCAGTGATGGCTGTGAACCCTAAGAAACGGTCAAATTTATTTTGTGCAATGTAGTCATTCTCTACTGGAGGTGATTTTGCCCCATCCCCATCTCCAGATAGAGACAATTTTGGTTGTCACTTCTCGGGTAGGAGTACTACAGATACCTGTGGGTAGAGGTCAGGGTGGTGGTAAACATACTATAATGCACAGAACAGCTCCCCTACTTCAACAAAGAATTATTTGGCCCAAGTGTCAATACTGCCGAGGATGTAAACCCTTGGTGAACTCATTTTAAGGAAAGGTAGCATAAAAGACATAGAAGACCGGAGAAAATGGTTCTATTCAAATAGCTTAAAAAGATTAACAATGGGCTTATCAAATATCCATATAAGAAGGTATCTACCCTTCTAATGATAAAGTAATTATTAATAAAATATACATAAAGCACTAATAAAGTATTAGTGCAATTAAATCTTAATTTATATATTATCTTAGTTATCTTGTATTCTTCCTTACAATGAAAAGCAAAGCAGCACATAATTCAATGACCTATATTTAATCCAAAAGGATACCCACCTTCAATACATCCCAATATGCCACATTATTATTGGTATCTTTGGTTAATATATGTCTCTTATCATTAAGAATGTGGCACTGAATAATACTAGCACCTCCTAAAGGAAAAAAGGACATAGTTGGTAAACAATCATTCTACATTTAAATTCACATGTGGCAATAACTGTTAAATGGCATGTAACAGGAACAAAAACCATACTACCTACCAAAAAGGAAAAGGCAAACCAAAGTGTATACAATCAATACATAAAGTAATTTAAGGCCCATCAACTATTTGTGTTCATTTATATAAGTATTCTTAAAAAAAAAAAAAACTGTCAAATTTTAGTAACAGATTACAGATTAAAGGGTTCCTCATTCCAATGGGCTAACAGTGGAAAACTGTTGAGGTCAAACAGTTTTACAAACTGGGAAAAGTCAAAATGATGACAGGAATCTGAATTGGTCCCACCTCTCATTAACTTTTGCTCCCATCTCCCATCTTTTTATGCTTTCTGAATGTATACTGTATTCAAAAGGTAACAGCATGGGCATCTACAAATTATCGATGAAATGTCACAAGATTTTAATATCAAGCCCTGACATAAAACATACTTGCTTTTGTGTTTGTTGTTTTTGTCACTCCCAGCTGTAGTTCACAGAATTTTAGAATCAGATTTGATCTTTCCTGGCTTTGTCAAAAGACAACATCATACCCTATACATTCTTGAAGTAGCTGTTGGCTTCACCATGACCATGACTATTCTGATGTTAGGCAAAAAGAGGAACTCACGAAAGCTCACTTTTGAAAATCACTAAATAGATTTTTTTAAATATGTTTTTCTACTACTAAAAACAAATCAACATATTATTGTCTTTTGTTGACACCAGAATTTCATTTAAAGGAAAGTCACCTCCTTTGTTTTTGTCAATCTCTTAGTAACTTTAATTAACTTCAATAAAAGGTACCATATCCTTCCAATTTCTTTACTCACCTTTAATAACCTGGTCAGGTTGGGTACAAAGAGGTGTTATAGGATTTGTGCAGTCATTGTCATAATCTCCAGAGGCTCTAAAATTATGAATTCCCTTCAATGTCTAAAGAAAAAAAATTGCTATTTAACCATTTCATACTCTACAAGCTTTACCAATCTGTTTGAAATGTCAAGAAAAATACTATTAAAGAACAAACAAAAAACCCATAACCACATCATCAAAACAATCCTTAAGCCATACTTTGTTGTTCTTTTGCAAAGAAAATTGGGGACAATAGCAGGCTACTGTTCCATGCAAAGTGAGGTTGGTCTCCAATTGGCGTATTAAAATTTAGACAAGATATGTATCTTTTTTTTTTTATTACTATTATTTTTTATTGGGATTTGGGTGAAGATTTACAGAGCAAATTCACTTTCCATACAGTTGTTCACATATCCTTTGTCTCATGTCATTGACCACAGTTTACCACAATGCAACAGCTCCCCTCCCACTTCCT